AAATGTATGTATCTTCCTTAGTTTCTTCCTTCCGAAAAATGGGTCGAGTACGATTGTTTGTACATCGAGAGGGAGAATTACTCGTTACTACCGTGTACACGATTCTGTAAGTTGTAAAAGTAAATTGTTTAGTAAAAATCATTGCAATACGTGCCGTATGGACGAGAGGTTTAGGTTAATGCGTGGCGCGCAAAATTGTCAGATATCGCTAGAGGCGCTGCTGTTATTGACCATTTTGTTTCCCTTATCGAAGTACAAACAGGGATGGCGATGGTGATCGAGATGGGGTGGTTCGAATGTTAAAGTGTCCTTTTTTTTATTCCTATACGATTCGCACAATCGAATGCTCTCGGTGCCGTAATGTAAGAACACGAACCAAGGACATTGAAAGTGAAGTAATAAGCGGACGATGCGGTGGATGGCACAAAGGGGTTAAAAGTGTCATACTTCAAGGGCGTGGCAAATAAACGCGATATGCGGCACGTGTTCGAGATGTTGAACGAATCGCTTCGACTCTTCGTACATCCGTGTGTTGCATCTGAATTCGTCGCTTTCGTACCATCGTCGAAGCTTCGTTCCGCGAAATGAATGTCGAGGAGCTGTTTGGAAGAGTTGATAATAAACTGGCGACGAAGTTTCACGATCTTCTCATTCCTCTCGGCACGTTGGCGCAAAATGTAAAAATGTAAAAAGCTGAAAGTGATTCGCTTCGATAGTTTAGAATAACTTGGCGAGAACTGGAAGTATAACTCGAGTTTTTTTTCAATTCTTCAATGTCGTACTCGTGGGAAGAACGAAGAACGACTCGGTATTATTGTCAGCGAGCTTGATGAAACGCATATACAAGTGTAGATATATTAACATTGATCGGATTTTATTCGAGTAAATTTCCTGTTAATTATAAATTTCAGTGTTGTGCGTATCCAACAAACGTAGCAGAACCATGCTAACTTGCTTGAAACTCGTATAATTGCAGATGATCATCGGCATCGATGTTTCGTATTTTTCCTGTCTGAGGAGTAAGAACTAAACGATATGGTAAAATCACAGTTGCCACTATTAACTGATTACTCTTCAATTTTCCCCGTATAATAATACTGAATAAAACTGTACATCAGTCGAGGCGAGATATGATTCAGCAAAATGCAAATGTGTATTCCTAGGATGCAGTATGGCTTCGGTATTCTGGCATGCTTCTGGGAATAATTTGATTTCTGCTGCTTTTGTCTTATTCTTGCTACTTTGTCCTCGCAGCAGTACAGGTTAGTGAAAATGTTCTTTTATCCTTTCTGCTTTTTCATTTTCCTTGTTAACAAAATCGAATGAGCGACACACCACGTTGCCATCATACCAATTTAATTTTCTAACGATCGATCGAGAGATATATATCTAGCCGGACGGCACGATTTCGCACGCGGTATTGTTTCTTGTCGTAGCCAGTTGTCAGAAAATATTGTTTCATGCAACTGACAGTAAGTCAAGAATTACAATTACAAAACGAGGCACGGTAGCACAGCTGTTTTACACGCGGGAGTAAATTCACATGCGTGTATGATTTTCACAGAGTGCGATCAAAAGTTTGTAAGCACGCCAGATGGTCCACTAAATGGAACCTTTCACGCTCCGACGTTAATTAATCCCGAAAGGGATTCTAAACAATGCGTGTATACTTTCTTGGCTGGGCCGCGACAACGGGTTGAAGTAATATTCACTTCATTCGGCCTTCGAGGAATCCCACCAGAGTGAGTAGTTCTCTATCAAGTTTAACACGTTCCGTGCCAAGCGAT